CTTCATGTGTTCTGCGACGCCAGCGAAGAAGCCTACGCAACGGCGGCGTATTGGAGGTTGCACTACGGACCCGGCCATGTCATCGAGACAGTCCTGATAGCGGCTAGAGCTAAGGTCGCGCCCTTGAAGACCCAAACCGTACCGCGCCTGGAGCTTCAAGCGGCCCTCATCGGAACGCGACTAGCGAAGGCAATCAAAGAAGAACACCGTGTCAACGTCGACGACACCGTGTACTGGAGCGACTCTCAGACGGTGCTTCATTGGCTGCGGAATGGAAGCAAGCGCTACACTCCATTCGTCGCACACCGTCTGGGAGAAATAACTGAGTCATCCAGACCGCAAGACTGGCGATGGATACCGACGCATCTGAACGTAGCCGACGTCGCCACACGCGCCGGTTATACGCCAGCCAACGAAAACGACCTGTGGTTCACGGGACCATCCTTCTTGAAATTACCAAGATCGGAATGGCCGAAGCAACCAACGGATCGAGAAGACGAGGAAACGACGGAAATAACGCACGTCATCGCGCACACAACAGAGAGAAACGCGGCGTTACCGGAGATAGAACGATTCTCGACGTTCGAGCGACTGATCGGCGCAACAGCACAAGCGCTACTCTTCGTGGAAAGATGTCGCGACAGAACGAAGACACTCAGCCGCGAACATTTCAACCGAGCGACAAATTTATGGCTGCAGCAGGCGCAACAAGACTCCTTCAGCCAAGAAATCGATTGCCTGAAGAAAGGAGTCCCCGTAGCACGAACGAGCCCTCTGCACCGTTACGACCTCACTTGGGAGGACGGGCTTGTGAAACTGAACGGACGCATCAATAAGGCGGACGTACCGGAAACAGCAAAGAAGCCGGTATTATTGGACGGACGCCACGAACTCGCGAAGAGAATTATTGATCGAGAGCACAGACGAGCGGGACACTGCAACAACGAGCGAGTGGTCAACGACGTCAGGCAGCAGTACTGGATCCTGCGGCTGCGACCAACAGTTAAGAAAGTCGCAGCAGGCTGCCTTATGTGTCGACTACGAAGATCGATGCCAAGGAGCCCGCCGACGGGGGATCTGCCCGCAGAACGTTTACAGCCCTTCAGACGTCCCTTTAGTCATTGTGGGATAGATTACTTCGGGCCAGTCACCATCAAAATTGGACGACGAAGAGAGAAAAGATGGGTGGCGTTATTCACCTGTCTAACGATACGCGCCGTGCACTTGGAGCTGGTGGCATCACTCACCACTGACTCCGCAATCATGGCGCTGCGAAGAATGGCAGCACGACGAGGATGGCCCGCCGTAATATATAGTGACAACGGCACTAACTTCCGAGGGGCTGACACCGAGCTCAAGAAGGCGTACACCGAGTGGCTTCCCGAGCTGAAGAGAGAGGCGATGAACTACGATGCCACATGGAAATTCATCGCGCCGGGAGCACCTAACCAAGGCGGAGCCTGGGCACGCATGGTTCGCTCCGTGAAAACCGCGCTCAACGCCACATTAAACGAACGAGCACCGAAAGAGGAGGTCCTGCACACTCTACTGGCCGAGGCGGAACATGCTGTCAATTCGCGACCACTGACGCATGTCTCCGTAGACCCAAGCGATCCGGAGGCGCTAACCCCAAACCACTTCTTGTTGGGGTCATCGACCGGCCTTCCATACACCGGGCCATGTGAAGAGGGCGACCGCAGGACTTGGAGGGCGACGCAAGCACTAGCCGACGCCTTCTGGAAACGCTGGCTACGAGAGTACCTACCGACCCTCGTACCACGCCGCGACCCACAACGTCCACGAAGCAGCGAAGTACGGACCGGAGACGTGGTTATCATAGCCGACCACGCTCTGCCTCGAAACACGTGGCCACGCGGCATCGTAGCCAATACCTACCCTGGACCTGACGGCGTGATTCGGAACGTGGAGATAACGACAAGAGGAGGAACATTTCGGCGGCCGACATCGAAGCTGATCGTCGTCGAACCTGCACTCTCCACGGAACGATGAGAGAGGACGCGCTGCGCGACGGGCACGGGGCTGCCAACCGGAGGAGGCTGCGGAGATCCTTCGCCGGGGGGAGACTGTTGACGACAGCCACGTGCCGAAAAATGTACAGATCGAACGACCAATCACAGCGCCTACATTTGCGGAATTCTCAGGGAGCCCATTGGCTGCGTATGCGCCGTCCGCACGGTGGGGGCGATTCCCCCACCCGGCGCGCGGGCGTAAAACGCGCTGTGATTGGTCGGCCGCCGCGCGTCACTAGTAGCTAAGTTAGATGTTAAGTTTAGAATAAGGGTAGGGCCAAATTTGTAAATTTTTGTAGTCAAGTCAAGTCAGTCAAGCAGTATAGTCAAGCAGTAATAAGTAGCCAGTAAGAAGAAAAATAAAACGTCTATAGAAGAAATTCGTCTTTGTTTTCACCATCATCCACGGTTATACAACATCGTCTACAGTTTGGTCCATAGAGCCGGATCAGCACCCTCAATAACTGTTTATTAATCATGATTTATAATACAATAAAACTAAAATAAATATCTTTTTTTTAATTATAAGTTAAATGCAAATAATAATTTGTATAGGAATCGATAAAACAATAAATAAACTGTGCTGAAATATACTTGTAAATTTTCTTAATGATAATATTTTTTATATCAAACCGACATTACCATTACATATATTGTACTTACTAACTCTAATATAATGACTAAAAATAATGTTAATGTTTCCTTTAGCACTCAGGTATTTTAGTTGTGCTTTACAAAGTCTCTCAGTAGTGATTATGCGTTCCAACGGAGATTATTTACTTACAACGGAGATTAGTCAAAGCTGCCAAGGTTGAGGACACATACCCAATAAGTGAAGGAATAGAATAGTATACAATTTGTAACATCTAAAATGTAACAGGGAGGTCAATTCAGCGATCCAGTATTGTGTTATAATGCTCAAAATCTAATCTGAAATGCTATATTACAAGCAAATACTCGTAGACTAAACAGTGGGACCTTTACATGAGCTAAAAAGATTTCCGATACTAGAGTGGGGTGGTTTAGCACCATTGTTGATTTTCAGTGGTCGAGTCTAAAGGAGTGGTTAACCATAAGTTCTAGTTATAAATGGAAGGCATATCCTTTGAACTGAAATTCAAAGTTTAGACAAGAAAAGTAGAAATCGGGATTAATACTAGTTTGCATATTGTATTTTAAAATAGAATGCCGAGTTAAATCGGGCACTTACTAAACAGAATCAATAATCAGAATAGACTAAACTTCTACAATAAATAAACTGTCTTAATATAAAATGTTGTCTATCTTTGGTACCTGGCTTAAACCATCATCCGACCAAAATAAGTCGACACGTCTCTATTTCACGTTTCCGCTACTGTCATTGTCAATTTGCTATAGGCGGTTAATGGTTTAAACGATGTAATAACTTAAGTCCTCACTTTATATTAAGACTGCTGAGACCGTTCAAGGTTTGAAATAAAAAGCATAATTCCGAGGCTGGCACTCACCAAGCCGGTACCTTATGCACACAGGCTGTAATGTAGGTACATATAGGTTTTTCTGTGCGATTGTATGGAGATTTCTCTAAAAATAGGCGAGGGGCAGCATTACTGCTAGCAATCTCTTCCAGGTGACAAAGGGGGCTGGATTTTTTTAACTGTAAAAGAAACTTCGTATGGCGCCCTTCCTCTACCCCCCACCTGCTCTGCGCTCTGCGCTCTACGAGGCCAACGATTATATATCATATATTTCCAGTATATGTCTTTTTTCTTTTATTTTAAATTAAGGAGTTTGCAGCATGACTGTCTCATCCTAGCCTTTAATGTGTATGAAGAGATTTGTGAAGTTTGTTCTTTTTTAATCGTAAGTAGGTATTAACATAGAGATGTTTTTTTGCGTCCCCCGACACTGGCGCCTGGGGCAAGCCTCCACTTACTTACCCTCCATGCGGGCCTGTAATGGAATAAGCCAAATATTTAAGGGAGAATAGATACATTAATATTAAGAAATGCAAAGGAGACAGATCTTAACATTATTATTTTTTTATTTTATTTGGCTTGATTAGCGTAGCAATTATCTTATTCTATTGATAAGCAATAGCCCTGCATACAGTGCCAAATATGTCTTGCTGTACGCAAATGATGTAACCGGTATGTGTGGAGCCACTAACCTAGACATTGGGTTGTGAAAAGAGTACGTCTTAATAATAGCATGACAACCTCGAACTCATTAGTAAACATGCAGTGCGTTGAACCGCTGGTGGTGGATCGATACGCACCGCACGGCTCAAGTTCAAGTTGGCGCATCGCCATGGAGACCGACTTACAACATATTACCCAGAGTGATATCGTCACACCACACCCTGCCTGCTTCTGCTGCTTTGTTAAGTGACTGTATTCTCAAAGCATAATTGTGTATCACTGGTGAGTAAATTGTCTCAAATTCATCATAAGCAATCTTTTAACGTCCTCACGATGTATAGGTCTTTCTTATGAACACAAATTATAAAGGGAGTCGGCCATAACATACCAAGGGCATACAGTGCGTTTTGGTGAATGTTAACGACGATAGGTGATAGTTTAAGGTTGTGTTATGCTCTCCTCTTATATAATACTAACTTTTGCCCGCGACTTCGCCCGCGTGGTCTAGTTTTAAGTCCAGACAGAAAATTCCATAAAACTTTCATCCCCTAGTTTAACCCCTTAGGGGTCGAATTTCGGAAAATCCCGTCTTTGTGAGCATCTACGTCCTAAAAAGAACCCGCATGCAAATTTAAAACTAGCACTTGTAACAAAGTTTCATACAAAATTTCATCCCCTAATTTAGCCCCTTCGAGTTGGAATTTTCAAAAATCCTCTCCTTGTGCTCCTCTACACTCATTAAGGGATCTTCATTCCAAATATTAACTTTATACGCTCAGTAGTTTCGGTTGTACGTTGTCTGTCTGTCTGTTAGTCACTCTGTAACGGAGGCTCCGTTACTGTATATGTCTCCGCATTAATCAGTCTTATTGAGATCCTTAAATTAGTGCACTGAAGCATTCCGATCGACGAAATCTTTCTAGGATACAATGACACTTAGCGGCTCAGCTGCCTACAGTCGACGAGTACCCGTTCCCAAGATGCCCCCGGGACTCGTGGAAATAATGGAGGGCCTCACTAAAGATGTCCTGAAGCACAATCCGCCAGACGTATACGAGTTTTGTGCTAATCACGTCCTTAAGTTGTTGGAAATAAGAGATGGACCTTGTAAGTTTACTTAGATATTGCTATGTCATCATAAAATAATACCGATTTAGTTTTTAAGTTGTACCCAACTTTATGAAGTAGGCAATTCTACTCTGGAGACTGCAGAAATATGAATGATTAATAAATAGACACTTTTTCCAGAGTATAACGTTTCTAAGATTAAATAGCAGTGCCAACTTCGAATAATTATTTTTTATGTCTCCGCAACGGGCCGGTTTATAATTTGGTGTAATTATAGTTTTGTTTTAAGTGATTCAAAAAGATTTTTTAATTATCTTTGATAAGAAACAGTACCAAAAGGTAAGATTTAAAAAACCCAATAAAATCGATTTATTCTGATTGGAATCCAAAAACTTGGAATACTTTTACGATACTTTACATGTTGCAATAATAAGTGTAAACTGTAACAGATCAAAGATATTTTTAAAACTAAAATATATAATATAAAGATTCAGTGCATTCATAAATTATCTTAAGGGCGAAATATATAACGATTTAAATTAAGCTATACCTAGATTTATTAAAATATACATAAACTTTCATTTAATCGAACAAACATCTTCAGCAATCTATTACCAGCGCGCGTAGCATGACGAACTCGAGAACGTTTTTTCTACACACAAATGTCACTTTTCTCGGGTGTGCCCATACTATATCTCTCTCTCGACCCGAGAAACTGACAAATGAGTGTGGACAAAGTGTTTCTCCAGTTTGTCATGCTACGCGTGCAGGTGTTCCAACGCCTGACCTTCGTTCTGGGTACCGAGTAATGTCGTATACATTACTAAGTATTTCAACATACTGAAATATGAAGCTTTAGAAAGCTCTTATACATTGTGGTCACGAACTCTCCATCTATATCGAGCACGTGTTTACACACGGCTGCACGACAGGTTACCACAATTTGACAATTTTCTCCAGTTGATTTTAAATTCAATTCACAAGCAAAGATAAATTTGATAGATTTATAACCGTACGCGCACAGTCTAGTTATATTAACAAGGGCAATATTTTACCAATATATATTCAGTCTTAACAACACCACTGTTAAAGCTTAAAAAATACTGAAATTTGTACCATACAACACTGTCTTTAGGTTTCTACTACAACATTTTGAAATATCATATAAGTATCATCAAAACTGAAACCTTCAAACTAAGTAAATCTTGTAATATAATTGACTTTTAACTCGTTATCTGTTATTACTTTTAGCACGCCTGAAGACAATACCCTTAGATCAAAGAATTAAAAGAGCACAAGAAGTCATTAGAAAACGAACGGAACAACGTTGGCAAGCTAACAATGATACGAAATTGTCATATACAAATGATAAAGTCCCCCAAAAAGTATTAAATCCGGTGCACCATGACAATGATTTGACGAATTCTTCGGAAATAGAGATTTCTTGTCAACCGGGTGACACCATTTGTGCCATTGAATATTTACAAGAAACAAAACCAATAAAAGATGACGATAAAAAAGAAAGATCCGTAAATGACCAAGCTGAAAATTCAGAAGAAGGACAAGACAAGAAAATTGTTGAGGTTGAAAAACATAATTCCGAGAAGACAGATTTTAATGAAAAAGTTATTTTTGTTGAAAATAGTAAAGATACAGAAACCTTACAATCACAAGAAAATGGAATATTAGAAGTAATGGAAACTAAACAAGATCACTTTGAAAATCCATCAAAGATTGAACAACACGAGGCGCCAGTTGCTCAAAACATCACGGAAAAGGATACGGAAATTAGCGTACATCGAGATTTAGAAGCTGTTACAAAAAGTAAAAATAAAGTAATTCTTAAAGAAAATACCGATGAAACTATGAATAATACTAATAATTTTGAAACTAATATAGAAAATGACAACAACTTAAAAGAAGCAACTATGACGAATCAAACGCAGGAAAGTGGGGAGGAAAAAATCGAAATTGTTCCGAAGTTTGAAAACCAGTCTACCAAATTTGATACATTATCTAAAGACACCGTGGCAGAGCAAAAAAATGAAAAACAAGAGATAAATGCAAATTTAAGTGCTTTACTAAAGGTTCCAAACATAACAATTAATGAACAACAACATGAACAAAATACAACCAACACAGAAAGTAATGTTAATTTGTCAACTTTAGAGAAGTCAGGTATAGATGAAAATATTCCTGCACCAAATTTAGATAAAGCTGACTCAAATAAGAATGCGTTAAGATTTGAAGAAGAAAATCAAAATAAGGAAGCTGCTGTGTTAATTGTAGAAGTTGACCAAAAGAAAGCTAAAAGTACATTGACTTTAGAAACATTAAATCAACAAGTACCAGACATGAAAGACGTTTCGTTGGAAGAAAATCCAAAGGAGGACGTCACTGTATTAAATAAAATATTAGAAGGCGACCAAAAAAAGGATGCAAGTTCATTAAGTTTAACTGAACTAAAGAAAGACATGAGTGTCTTGCCTGTATTAAGTGTTGTTGAAGTGGACCAAATAAAAGAAATGGCAGTGCCAACGATAGCAGGGGTAGATCAAAATAAGAACGTCAATGTAGTTAATCTCCAGTTACAACATGAAGTGTGTGCAGAAGATATTCCACTTGATGTTGAAACAACTGATCATAATATTCGTCCAGACATTGTTTTAGAAGATAAAGAACAACTAAAGGAATTAGTTAATAAAAAAAGCACTTCCCCTCCTCAAAACAATAACAAAGAAGACGATCTAAACACTGCTGAAAATTATAATGACAACAAAAAAAATCTTGTAAACCATTTGGAAAAAGATTTAAAACAAAAAACTGACGACATATTCAACAATGCCCAGGTAGTGCAAGATCCCAAAGGTGATATCGTCATTGAAACTTTACATAATAGTTCCGATGATTTGCCTAAAACTGGTGTTTACATAGAAACGTCTATGCTAGATAAAAATTCAACCGTTGTGTCTTCAAACGAGTCGACACATATTTCTAAAAATGACACCAGCCAAGAAAATAAAATTATTGATGATAATTTACAATCAAACGTGAACTCCATTATACAGAGCGATGTAAAAGAGTCGATACGTCCGAAACGAGACATTGAGCACGTCACAGTCAAAAGCATCGAAACTGTTCAAGAAAATAATACAGATAATATAATCGATTTTCCTTCTACTCCTGATGACTGTGGAACTGAAGAAAGTAGTAGTATTAACAGTATTGTAGAAAATGGTACATTAGACGGTTTCGAAGAAAGTGCTCCAAATGATAACGTGAATACTATGGACTTAGAAACAGCAGCAGTGACAATCCAGAAAGTATTTCGTACATTTCTATTTAAAAGTAGAGCGTCAACATTTGAGGACTCGAATAATGATATCAATACATCGGATGACGATAAGGATCACGACAATAAGGTGAGCATTGAGGTATCTGCTATCCGATACTTTGTTAAAATTTAACATAGCATCGAAAGTTGATTTATACTTTAGAACTTAGTATAACATTTTTATAATGTAAACATTTTTAGGACATGCGACCGTTTCAGACTTCGTCTATAAATAAAGATCGAAGAAATTTGGGAATAAGTCGTATGGACACTGTTTTACAAACTGTAAACGAAGAAAAGTCATTATCGTTATCCACTGATGATTCTTCTTTATCTAGTGCCGCTACAATTATACAAGCTCACGTGAGAGGTTTCCTAGTAAGGAATAAATTAAATTCGGGTAAAACCGCATCCAGCACTAACTCATTGATAAATTCAGACGGACCGTCGACTACATCGATTGAAGGAGAAGGTGACCAACATAAAAACAAAACCATCCTTAATATTCATATCGTTCCAGAAGGTAATAACTATTTAAGTAGAGACGAAAGTATCATTACATCAATGGATTTGTCTTTAGACGGTAGTCCACCTTCTTCAGTTAACCTACATCCGTTGGGATATGATAAAAGTGAGCGCAGGAAACAGCTTAAGAGGGAAGATGCAATCCAGTCAGTGTCGCCACCTAGTAATAACAGTGGTAAATTAAGTGATGATATAGAATCAGTGAAAGAACTGCCTTCGAATAGTGGGTCACTTGCTAATACTTCACTAGACCATGATACGGTTACAGCAGTTTTATCCGAGGATAATATTAATGTGGTATCAAAAATCGATAGTAATCATACTACTCCTGAAAATAATACAGTAGAATCTTTAGAAAAGCTTAATGAAGAAATATCCATCAGTCCAGAACCAGTTCTGGAGGTATCTGATAAAGTAAGAAATACTTTAACAAAACAGAGCTCTGATGAAACGGACGTTGTAACACCTTATAAAGGAAATACACCAAGAGATTCTGATACATCTTCAAGATTACTGCATTCAGGTGAATTTCATGACACTGTGCTTCCAACAAAGGTGTCTAGGAGTGACACACCCGTGGTCAGTGGTGAGTGAAGACATCCTCTATTATCAGGTGATAAATCCTTTCCCTACTTTTAAGGCCATCGCATGAGCAGCTTAAGTGTTGTAGTATTTGTTTCAATTGATTACTAGCTAGTCGTAGCTAGTTAATAGATCGTTCATGTATAACCTAAGTTTGATGAGTCTGTTTCTAGTAGTATGTATTAAGTTTTCATTAACTCTGTGCTGGTACCCCATCATGATTAAGTTATGTAATTGGCCTTATTAAGTTTGAAAGTTAAAACGTAATCAAATTATTAAGTAGCCAGTGGCTTATAATAAGCCTTGTAACTGTTGGTGCCCTTGGTTTTACAGTACATATTCATATCATGCTAGAATAAGTAAAAGGCTTGGTGATTTTCTTTATTTAATATATTATTCTAATTGAGATACCTAATTAATGTTATAATTAAAGTAATATGTATATTTTTGCAGAATTCAAGAATGTGCTGGTGTACTTTATACTATGGAATAACTCATAATAGATAATAATAAGTATGTAGTTTTAAAATAATACTCGTAGATGATGTTTCAGTATGTAGAGTTGGAAATAAATTATGATGGTAATTTATCAAAAATTGTTTGATTACTAATTTGTGATTATAGTATGTCAATATCCGATTACACCAGCGCCAGACTATTAGGGGTGTATTCAACTTAAAAATAAAAAATATTGAAAGCTAAATTTTCTTTTCACATTAAAAAAATAGCTTACCGCTAACTTATGTCATGGCATCACTTTGACGTCACGGCCCTCTGAAACTAATATTATTCTATTATGCATAAGGTTTATTAAGTTGAATAATGTTTAGAACCTGCTTATAATAATAATATGGCACCTGCATATAATAAAAAAGTGTTTCAAATTACAAAAAACTGTCATTTGAAACACATTTTTAAACGTACCGGAATTATAAAAGTTAAATGATTAAAGAAGGTAAGGTCCGGCTTTTAAGAGTTAAGTCAGAGGCTAAATGCTCAGCTTAAAACAACGCAGAGTCAGGTTTCAATTTAGATGATGACGGCTATTACAGATGATCATCAAGGGGGCTTGGTGATACACGGTAAGGTTTAAGACTAACTCCTCCCCCCCATCCATCCAAAAATTTAAAACACGTAATTTATTACTACACTGATTTTTGACGACATTGACGAGTGGGGAGCTCGTTACGTCACAGTTTTGTAGAAAATATACAAAATCGTGACGTTATGCAACATTTCACTCAATGTATTGTCGTAATTTAATGAAAGCGTAGCTTAGTGGCGTAGTGGATAAGCGCCGCGGCTCGCGATCGTAGTCGTTAAGCAACTTTCGCAAGGGTCGGTCACGGGATGGGTGACCAAAAAATTATTATCTCGAGCTACTCCGTGCTTCGGAAGGCACGTTAAGCCGTTGGTCCCGGCTGCATTTGCAGTCGCGATGTGTTCGTTTGCAAGAATTTGTGAAGTAACGCTCGTAGACCACATTCGTTATGAAAACAAGAATAATGGCATCGAGTCGGTGTAAAAATTCGCTCCGTTGGATCGGACATGTGGAAGAATGATAAAAATGATATACAACGTGATCAAAATAATCGCGTACTGACAGGAGTCATTAAAATGTCGACTATGTATGTGCCGTAAGGAAGAAAAATCGATTTTCTAAGAAAAATAATCGATTCTTATATTAATCTATAATTTTATACATCCCTACTTAACTGTCCATCGATTGACAGATTTGTCATTAGACATGATGTTTAGAAAAATGTGGAGTTCGATATTTTTAAAGAGTACAGTCGATATCGATATATCGCTTCACAAAGCATCTTCAGCGGTTTGACTGGTAGAGAATGCCTTTTATGGCATAAACCGCCATTCGTTTTTTGAATTATGGCTATGGTTTTTTTCTCTTTTTTACACTGATGTATTGTACCCATGTTTTTCAACAAATAAATGAATATGCTATGTAATAAGCAATAGAGATTAAATAAATAAATATATCAAGAATTTTTAGGTCATAATTAAATCCAAATTTCTTATTTGTAAAAACCCTGATTTTGGAGTTGATATATCGATATACATAGATGTTGCTGCCCTATTTGACATTTGTTATTGTTGTACTGTCATTGGTTTGTTTTATATTTTATCCTAAAAATTAGTGTTTCACAGGAAATTAATAAATACCGGTACCTTACCGTTTTGAAGATATTATTATATAGATAATGCCGCTACCGCCAGCCCTTGCGGCACGTCTCGCCAAAAGAGGCATCTTAAAGCCAAATTCGAATGGTTATGGCAATGACTCTGTAGCAGCACAAACTAGCGAAGAGATTATTGCAGAAGATTACGATAACAAGCCCGACGAGCACAATAATGTGGAAAATTTTTGGGAAGGAATAGAAGGCGTCAACGTAGATCCAATAAAGGGCCATAAGGGCTGTCCAAATAAATATAACATTTACCACGAATGTACCAAGTTTTGTGTAAAAACTTGGAAGCAAGGTAAAATAGTGCCAGATGAACATTATTTAGAAAACAAACGTAAAGCTTTAGAGTTGTGGCCGCTTCCTCCCGGTTGGGAGGAGGTTTATGATGAAGGATGTGGTCAACATTATTATTGGAATGTTCACAACAATCTCGTGTCATGGTTACCACCCACTCATCCCAATGCTGCACCCTCTGAAAGTGCTTCACATTTACGTGAAGAGCGCTTACTACGGGAGGGTGATGAGAGCGACAATAGCAGTGATGAATCTGACCAAGAAGTACCTCAGCAGCCGACCAGAGATAAACCCCGGGACCGTCGAGAAAGAGATAAAGATATAACACATCATAGGGATAAGAAACGACCTCGTGTGAAAGACAATGATTTAGATCCAATGGACCCTGCTTCATACTCAGATATTGCACGTGGAAATTGGAGCTCAGGACTGGACCGACATGCAAAAACTGGTGTTGATTCTACAGTTTCAGGTCCTTTGTACCAAATGCGCCCATACCCAGCTCCAGGAGCTATACTTGCAGCTAATGCAAAGCAGCACTCTCCACCACCGTCACCTTAGAATTAAAGCCTTGTGTGAATAATAACAAATGTAAATTAATTTCATTGTATTATTTCACACATTTATTAGCTCATACACAATTGTTGCAAAATCATTTCTAAGGGAACCTCTTCTTTATGAAATGATTTATTTTAACATTTTTCTTTACAAATTGTGATATTAGGTTGGTGAAAAAGTCTTTTCGCATATAATATGCATAAACTTGTAACAAAAACTTTATGGCTATACTATTTGTCTATGATAGTTTCTTTAGCTGGTTTTGGTATCATTAAAAAGTTTAAATTTTAAAGAGGATAACTCTATGAATTGAGAGTTATCTTCTTTAAAATTTAAACTTTTGAAAAAATAATGTGATTTTTATTTGCTTTTCTTACTGTTCAAAATGATTAAATCTAATGAAGAAATATTTTGATTCCTTTTTATTACAAAAAAGTTAAAAATGCAACGCAAGCTGTGAAAAAAGTTTTGTGACTTTATGTACTTAGTGCTGTGCCAGTAGCAGGTTTCACAGACTGTCAGATGTTGGTAAGGTTTCACAGACTGTGGTGAAACGCAGGTTAACTCGCATCAAGGTGATGATGTGTGTATGGTGGAATTGGAAGGGCACTATTTATTATGAGCTGTTACAGCCAGGCTGGACTATCGATTCTGAACTCTACTGCGAACAACTGATAAGATTAAAACAAGAAATTAAGAGAAAGTGGCCAGAATTGATCAATAGAAGGGATGTGGTTGCCACTCAGAAAAAAAAAGTTTGGGTAGGAGGTGTTAATGCATCTCCTGTATAGTCTTGACCTGAACAAAATGGTACATTATGTATGTACCATTTTGTTGAGTCTCATCTTAGAGTGCCAGGGCAAAGTGGATTTTTAATTCATTTTCATTAAAAATACTAGTTTGTTTTACTGCTGTCTACTCTCGTTTTTATTGTATGTTTTATCCCATTCTAGCCCTAATGCTTAACTTTTTTATTAAGACTCTATGATTAGATTTGTTATTAAAAAGTTATTTAAGATTTGACAATCAAATCTATAAGAAAGTTTAATCAATAAAACGATCTTTTATTTCTTTAATGAAAAATGCTTAAAAAATGTACCAGTCTCAGAATGACCCCGAGAAGAAACTCGACCGACCCTTCGCGATCCGGGAGACTACTTCTGCTTTGTCTGCGACTGTGCTTGAATAACTTCCGGCCTGTTTTACTTTGAAAAGGTTTGTACCTTTTCAAAGTAAAACAAGCGCAATTCGGATGTCTACGTGTTTGCGGTCACGCCCGCATAAGGAAGTGCTATGCCTACAACATTGTGAATGCAAAATGAATCAAATATAAGAATCTTCTTTTATTATCAACGTAATAATCAATTTAGCGCGGCAAATCAGTATGATTTATACCCCGCCGAGTGAGGACACCTAATGCGTTGTATTTTTCACCTCATGGTTATTGAAACAAGATATATTATTTTTGAACGTTCTTCAGTAATTCATCATAGGCGTTGGTTGGAGCGCTATATTAGTTGAAAATTACTGTTGACTGTTACTATATTTAATTCTGTTGTTTTGTCTTTCATCCAAAGCACTTACACTCACATGTTCAAATCAGGAGCTCGTTCGTACCCCATAATAAAAGTGCGAACATACTAATTTAGTTATAGGTATGATATGACGAACGTATTTTAGAAACATGCCGTATTAAATGATTTATTATGATAACTGCTGGCATCGAAATGCATTTAATTTAAACATCTCTGAGGTGTCGTGTGGATGCGTCATGCTCGTGAACAGGTGCTATTAGTAGAGATGAGCGCTAAAGACTTCTTACTTTTGTCAATTTTCTTTTAATAAGCATTTATTATATATAAGTTTGTTTAACGCAACATGTGAATCGATTGACGAATTGATATTTTTTTTTATTATTTTAAAATTGTAACGGAAAGTGAGTTTATAGTATAAAGAAGTAATCTTAAATATGACATCTCTGTATGAAAAGAAAAACGGGGAGAAAAAGCACTCTGCTGAGTTTCCCGACGGTTCTTCTCGGTTCAAGGTTTCAATTTTCACAAGTGTTTGTAACAGTATAGACTACATAAATAAATTTGATTAAATAATTCTAGGTTCTGGTTAGACGTAAGAATTTCCTAAATAAAATAACCATAAAAGTTCTTATTAAAGTTTATTATAAATTTTATATGATACGTTGATATTTGCTAATCATTTTGATATAATTTTTGTAGCTCTTATTAACTTAGTATAATGATATAAATAATTTTCTTAAACAAACTTCAAGGAAGCACATTTTGCAGACTCGTTTATTCATGAATATAAGATGTCAGATTATCAACAGCTAATCACTTTTAGTGATTATTGTTAAATCCATGATTTAACTTATAATTAAATAGTACATAACAAATACAAATTATTTATTCATTCTGAATAAATGAATACTATTAATATGGTGTGTTAAAGGTGGTGCTATTGTAACTCTTCACTTGCCATTTATTTGATTATTTTCAGACGTAGTGAACGATAACAAATCTTCAGAAGTGATTACTCCAACAGGTTTGTCTGTAAAACATGAAATATAAACAGGTTACATCAATATAATAAATACAAAAATCGCATCTTCTATTCAAGTTTATGATTGCAGCATGTCTTACTGGGGGAAAACAGTAAAAAAAAAAGACAAAATCTTTATTCAAAAAGCAGAATCTTTTAGACTTCATTATATAATTATGGGTTGAGCTTCATTTAGCAGCACGGTATCGCTTTTTTTCCTTTTACATCCTATCCGGCGGGAAAGATGTGCAAGTAGGGTAGATTAAAACGCCGATAATAGTTGAGAGTACTCAAATATAACTTTGCACTAAATACGATTTTTTAGTTTATTGAATGTGATTTGTTCGATGTTGTAGCACGTTTTACGAGTAGAGAGAATGTCGTACGTTGACTTTTGTGCCTACTGATAGCTTTACTTTATTATGACAAAATTGGTTAGATCAGTGCGAGCGTAATAGCAATAACTTAACGTACGAATGAAAGAGATGTAATGCCGGGTCTTTATACGATGTTTTTTTGTTCGGTGACTGTGCTATAGAATGAGATGGATAACATCTTGACGCCGTTAGTACACTGACGTAATTGCATGCTAATGCGAAACCTTTGCAAAATTGTCAACTGTATGGGTATGGTTCGCATCTGCTATATCTGGCTCCATTATTAGCTTGAGTCCTTGTCAGAACGGTTTTGAAGTCAAGAAAATTACATACTACTTTCAATATATAATAACAATAGACGTGCATGTGCAAAACAGATTGTCAAAATGTCAATATTAAAATTTAAATTAATTAAGAAGATCTTAAACCAAGAAGGTCGGGAGCAAAGCAGTCTCCCTCAACAAGACGCACATGTTTCGCATTCAGAGTTGCAACCCGACCCGGTTTCTGGTGGCTATCCGAATATCAAGAATTTTGTTTCTTCTCGGTGTATTAAAGGCGTGAATATCAAAAAGTTGAGTGTGGTAGTGAGTACCTGATTTGACAGCGACGATGAAAGGCGCGATGTCGAGCATGCGTGACACGAAGCCGAGCGTCGGCGCGGGATTATTGTCGAGGTCCACTCGGTAGTATTTCTTGACGAGGAATTTGTCGAGGTTTTCTGTCAGAGAGCCCGCCATGTTGGCCAGCCGCCGCCGGGTATTATCCGCCGTTACAACGCCAGATATACTCCTAGAAAAAAATCACAATGTTATTTACCGTGTCTCGCGGTCACCTACGATGGTTACATGCCACCAACGGATCTACAATTTTTATTAACCGGGGCAGAAATTTCGTATAACGCCCTTCCTCTATCCCCCCCCCCCCACTCCGTGAGGCCGGATTTTTATATAAACTATACTTTTGCAGTGCAAGATGTTTTTCCTTTATTTCCATGACGAATTTTGAAGAAACTTGCTCCCTCTAGATCTGGGCCTGTATGGTTGTCCATTTAATTTCAAAGGGATACTAATAGAGTTCTTTTCGAACCATCTGATTGTTAATAAAAATATATTGCCTGCTACTTATATGCAGTGATGGGCATAATGTAATCCTAATTAATGATTATTAGTACCTACCACACAATATTGGAGGTTACATGATGTAATAGAACTTATCGATAGCTCATGTAATAAACTAGATATATACTTAAATAAAAATTACCATATTTAATCTCGACATCAAGTGAATTTCACCGAATGTTAGCATTAGATAGGATTGTTTTCTGTCCATTACTGCGCATTTTTAAGTCGCACAGTACGCAACTATTTCGAAACTTGGCGCAACCTATTTTTGCTGTTCTATTAAGTGTTCAAACATTAATGTAACAAAATATACGTATATGGCTAGACAGATCAACAAGAGAAACATTAGTCCGGATCATATATGAAGAAAGTTAAATTTGAAAACACTGACATGTTTGTTTTTGAATTTGACAGAACTGACAAATCGCTTATTTGGGTAATCAAGGGACATAACGAGTGAAATGATCTTTGATTTTAAGAGATAAACATCAAAGAGTATTTAATCACTGAATTTTATCCACGTTAATTGCTAAATATTATGGTATGGATGAGCACTCACTACTTACCCTATCTCGAAAAACAATTGAACGTATAATTTTTATAATGTATTTTATAATATTATAAAAGGAAAGATTACAACTTCAGCTACAATAAAACGAATATATAAAAACGCGGAGAACACATTATTTTTTTCTATAAATTGATGAATCACTACTCAATATACGTATTTATAATATGTACAACGTTTACAAGACTGATTCTAAAAGATCTTTTACCGGGAGCTATATCGTAATTTATCGAATACGCAAGAAATAAAAAAAGTACGTGTTTAATATCTTTAATAATCTATCCGACGGATAGACAAACAAAAATTAGTCATCATCACTGTAGGCATAAATTTTAGAAATCCATACGAATAGTTTACAATTTCCTTTTTTTTGTAGTT